GCGCGTGTATATGTGTACATAGTATAAATATACATATATTGTGTAATAACTTGTGTTTGAATAGCATGCACATATCCTTAATTTTTCAATAATTAATATTATAAAAAATTTAATTGCTGTTCTAATTTTATTAAAAAAATATGTGTAACAATTTTTTCTAACAAAGAAATGTATAATTACTAATTGTAAAATTATGTATTAATTCAAAAGACTTCGAAGGATATAAAATCGATATGATATATCGATTTTAGGTTCTGAAAAGATCAGTGGCTTACATGTCGTGTATCTGCGCGATAAACAGCGTTGGGTGAAAAATATAATCATAATAATCATGTTATATCTGTTAATTGTTTAATTAAATTATATTAATTATGATAGCGACAATGTATATTTTCGAAACATTTGTAAGGAATGCTCTGGTAAATTAGTATCAAATAAATTAATTATAATCAATGCGCGTAGGTAATGTGATTTAAAAAGTCTTTCATTTTATAGGAAAGAATTATTGACAACAATTATTAAAGAGTATATCTGTTAACAATATATAATGTGTTTCAGAGAATGAGAGTAATAAAAAAGCAGATAGAATAGATAGTAGACCGATAAGTATAATAATAAAAAAAATATTATAAAATTGTTTAAAATAAAATTCATTTTATCAATTTAATATACAAGAAATAATTTACTAAATAATTATAATAATAATTAAGTAATAATGTTAAGTATTTTATGTGCAAATATATATAATATAAACTAAGATATCTTTTGCTTCTTCTACTGCTTTTTTAATTCTTAATTCTTGTAAAGAATAAATAAAAAATTCAAATGTAATATAAATTGTTAATATGCTAATATATTGTTTAATTGCATTTTGTTATCCATAAAAACAATATTCTTTCGTTCTAATATATTTGTGTTTGTCAAAGTTAATTCGAATTTTTATTCCTTCCGAGTACGATATAAATCCATCAAGCAATCGAAGTATTATTATCTTATATTAAAGTGTGTCATTGTGCATAAAAAAAGGCGTCCCCTCGGGGCGTAATATGCAAATTCTGTGACTTCTACACGTGTGCAAAAACGATCTCGATGAATAAGAGATGTAAGAGGGGCATTATACGAAAGAAAAAAAGATGAGGGGACGCGACGTGACGAAACGAAAATAGCAGGGTACAGCGGCGAGTATTAATGAGGTTTCCAACAGGAGTTGGATCTCACATTAAGTATGCAACGGAAACTCCGTGGAAAAAACATTTTCCTCATTTTTTTCACCGGCTTGTTTTTCCGTTCCAGCTATTCGCCCTGGGCGGGTGCATATTTAAGCAACTTGATCCGTCACGAACGAATTACTCACGCAAAGTGCACATCACCGATGCATATTTGATGAAAGAGTCTATAGACCCGGTGATTACGTGTTCAACAGTTCACATTACAAGTTTGTAAACTATTGCGTCTATGGCGGCAAGATGGTGTCTCCGTTTTCATATGAGAATACGATAAAATACGAGAAATTCTACGAGAAATTCACGAATTTATCATCACGAATATGTCCGATCGATAATTCGCAGTTTCGATCGCTCCGTCGACCTCTCGCTACCAGTTTGCTCGTCGTTCCGCGCCATCGAGATCTTACGGCGCAGAAATATATCGAAACTTGTACGCCGGATACTTGTCATTTTTGACATTTTTTAAAAATATTTTAACATTTTCAATTTAACAATTCGCACGTGACAACAACGTTTCGCGTCGTAGAAAATATTTGCGCGAAACAGTATCGCGTGTTTTTTTTTTTTTTTGGAGACGCAAATGCCAGATGAAAAATCGACGAGCGCCAATATAAACGTCCATCTGAGAATACAACAAAGGGATCATCGAGCAAATATTCAGGCGAATTTATGAACGCATCGTTTAATTCCATTGTTTTATTCGGGTAAAAGTTTGCAAGTGATGTGCTTTCACCGCTTATTTCCGTTAACCTGCGAGGAAAGTGCGCGCAGAGATTACGGCGGAAAGTTGGTGAGCGACTAATGGGTATCATTAACGATTGCGTGGCCTATTGTCACAATGGAGAAAATCAGAAGATGACAGTTACTAACTTCGAGCTTAGATGGACGCGGATAAAATGTCTTCACGCTTTGCCGAGAGAGCAACGGGCGCGTCCAATATAAAAGTACGTTGCTATGCAGGCCGCAACGTTACTTCGACTTTAAACGTTCGAGTTAAACATTTAGTTTTATATATCGTTTTGATATTTCGATTTGAATAACAAAACGCCTCGAAGATTGTCCTGGTAGAACAGTATAACTGAGATATCGAGAAAAGAGAAATTCGGTTGCACTTGGAGATAAATCGAGAAAATGATATTCATGATTTAAGTGTCTTAATTTAAAAGATTTATCTTTTAATAATAAAAAAATATTACCTTCGTTTTAATAACGAGTGTCATTAAGAAGAATGATGATTAATGAGAGAGTGTTTGTGCTGATTGCACTGGTAATCTACGGCGTGTGTGCTCGCACCGCCGACAATCGAGATTCTTATAGAGAAGCCAATGATAAAAAGTATTCCGGGTCCATGTTGGCTGAAATTGCAAAGGAAATCATGCAAAGATCAACGACCAGTCAGGTAATAAGAATTAAATGTTATTGATTGGGATGTCATGAGAGATTTCAATGTTTATTATTTTATTAAAATTACGACAATTGAATACTGAAGAACAAACAAAAAAATAATGTAAAATAAATTTCTTTAATAGTTCCTTAATAGTATCAATCACATTTGAGATTATTTTAATTAGGTATATGTTTGAATATCATTTATTTAAAAAAATTGAAATTACACCTTGTAAAAAACATTTAGCACTAATTGTCTGGCAATATATAAAAGGTGATTGCAACATTACAGGTGTTGAATTTAAATCTTTCAAACCTGCTGTTACTTTTGGTACTCAAAGCAGTTGTATTTGGCGCTGGCTATATAGGAAATCACGGATACAAAGGACGTGAATTAGAGGATGGTAATTTCAACAACCTTCTATAACATATAACTAGCAAAAAAATTACACAAAATTACACAAAAAAATTACACAAAACATACACTGGCATTTTATTTCTAATTTTTTAATATTTTATTACAAAAATTAGATTGTTGATATATAAAATTCTAACTCTTTTTTAAACTGCTCGGTTAACAAAAAATAATACATCAGTAAAATACTAAATTGTTTTGCGCGCGCGCGCGCGCGCGCGCGCGTGTGTGTGTGTGTGTGTGTGTGTGTGTGTGATGGAAATGAAATGTGAGATGAAAATAAAATAAAACTCGAAAATGTAGCTATATGAATATATTATTTCAAAGTTAATGGGGACTATGATTTGATATTTGTTCCAATTCGCTTTTTCCGAACAGTTGCATTAACATTAACCATTAATATGCAAAACTCATATCTTGTTGTATTTTGAGACAAAAACGCGACAAACATACAATAAAACTAAAAATTGCTAAGATAATACCTAGTCTTTCTTTAATTATAATTGTTTCTATTAATTTCAGAAAATGTCGTGTCGGAAGGTGAGCTTTCGCTAGCTCTAGGATATTTAATGGGTGATACTTGTTTATACAGAGCAGCTTGCGAAGCACCACATGTCGCGAAACAATATCTTGGTGCGGCGGAAATGCTCTTGCAAACAATAAAGTTAATACCACAGTACGTATATAAAATATTTTTATAAAAAGACAACAAAAGGTCTTTAAATAATTGAAACATTCAGTACTGTAAAATAAAATACTTGATATTGTTTATGCTTTTTATGAATGCAAAACTCACTGTCATTATTATATTAGATAAACATAAATGAAATGTTCTTTTTAAATTTTTTATGATATTTGAATTTATATTTACATCGAAACGTAGCGTCTCTTTTTTTTTATTAATTGTTTCTATTATTTTAGTATATACATTTTAAATTAAATATAAAATTAAATAAAAATATAGTAATAACGTTTGTTAAAATAAAATAAATTCGTTTTTTAAAATAAAATCACATGGCAGAGTAATATATCAAATAATTAATTTGATTTATTTTAAATTAAATGTTATTTTGAAGATCCATAGAAAATATAGAAAATTAAATAGAGAATAATGTTTAATAAAAATATAAAAATAAAATGGCAAACAATCAATGTAAAATTTGTGTTTCCGCAGAAGCTTACCTGTAGAACCCAATTATGAGAGGACAATCGCAGAATTCCGGAAGGCAATTGAATATGGCAATATTGAGCGATGTCCACCGGAATACAGTTGCAAAAAAGAGAATATAAATAATTTCTTGCAAAGAGAAAAACGATAACGCAAATATTAATACCGTATCTATTTCATATTTTCTTCTCATTCTCTTATCAAGGTATAAAAATCGAATGTTTTTAGATATATCTTTTTAAAGATATTAATTTTTTATTATAGAAATTATTTTACTTTTATTATTTTATAATTAGAATGATAATTATCTAATAATGATGATAGATAAATTAAGAAAAATGAAAAAATATTATTATTATAATCAGAAAATAAAGATTATTTTTGAATAAATTGTATTTCTAATAACATTATTATTAATATTATTTTTATAAAGAAAATATACAATTGCAATCTAAAATATAATTATATAATTTTTTGTGTTAATTTTTTCTTAATAATTATTATTAAATGTTTAAAATTATTATTATTAATAATATAAAAATATTATTCGATCAGTATATAAAATTTTTATAAATTTCTGAAAAAGTAAAAGATAAGATTTAAAAATCTTTTAACTTTAAAATTATTAACTTTAAATTATTCTAGAAATATTTCTCATCAATAATTTATTAAAGCTATTATGTTTATCAATGCTATTATATTATTTTAAAAAATAGCAAAATAAAATTATCTATTATACTCAAATATTTCTCCATAATAAAAACTATCGTTCAATCAATGGCCGACATGAAATGAGTTTGCTTCTTAATTTATTCAAGAAACTAAATTCAATTTATGATCAAAGTTTTGAAACATAATCTCATCGTAAATAAAAAAAATATTTGTATTTATTTTTCAAACATCTTGTTTTAATATTTTTATGCGCAAAATATAAGAATTGATTTATATAAAAAACGTATTATTTAATTTTTAAAAATTATATATATGTAACTGCATTTTTTCAATATGCATCTTTGCATTAAGGAAAAATATAAATTTATAGAATGTGCGACAGAACTTTTATATCATTCAAATATTCTCTTTTTCAATCTTTGTACAAGAAAACGAAAACTACAACTCATCCTAATTATGTAATTCTCTCTATTAACTTTGATTTTTAAATTACACTCAAATATATAATTATATAATTTAAGATTTAAATATTCTCATAATTCAAATAAATACAATTTAAATCAATCGAGTAAACAATGCGAGTAAAAAAAAAGAATTCTATTTTTATGACGTAGATGATTCTCGAGCGATGTTTTTTGATTAGCGGTGTCTCTCGTTGTAGATTTGTTTCCAATTTAAATCTTTGTTTTTTGAAAACTTTATTTTTCGTGTAAGGATTAACTTGTTCTGTTTGTAAAAATCGAAAAAATGTTGTCAACAAATCTGACGGAGATAGATATCTTTGTTCTATTATTGCGTCGACATTCATACATTTGCGCCTGTAATTTGTGCCACGAGGTGGCGCTGGAAGCGCCGCCACTGCCTAACCCAATCTGACAGTCGCGGTGACCACCGCAGATGCAGAGTCGTTTGATTTTCGCCTGGTCACGTCGCGACAGACGTGTAAACAATTTTTCGCATTTGGGCTGCTAACGTCGTTTCTCGTACGTCTTCTTTAAGAGATGAGTTCTATAGGCACAGGAGTGAGTATGTCGCCCGTTGCTCGATATATGACCGCAAAATGCGGCAATGATGCGATTGACATATGAAATCCTAACCTAAGATTTTTTCCAGTACGATTTGTCCGCCTCGCAATTTTCGCCGGACGGACGTGTATTTCAAGTGGAATACGCGCAGAAAGCTGTCGAGAATGGAGGGTGAGTATTAACGCTCGTCTTATTCCTCATGAACTTCATTTGTAAACTCGTAACTCGATCAAAAAAATATCCAGTAGTAATATTGATGTAGCAAAAATTGATGTTACAGAATAGCTAATTAAAATATTGTTAAGGAAGAATACACGTTTATATTTTATTCATATATACAATTGAATTCTGTTGCAGAACGGTTATCGGCTTGCGTGGAAAGGATGGTGTAGTATTCGCTGTTGAAAAGATTGTAACCTCAAAGCTCTATGAGGCAGGTGCCAATAAACGGATATTTAACATAGACCAGCATGTTGGTATGGCAGTTTCTGGTATAATATCAGATGCGAGGCAAATTGCGGAGACTGCAAGATCAGAGGCCGCTAGTTATAAAGCACAGTATGGAGTTGGTATTCCATTGAGATATTTAAACGAACGAGTCTCCATGTATATGCACGCGTATACTTTGTATTCTGCTGTACGTCCGTATGGTTGCTCCGTCCTGCTCAGTGCTTATGAAATAGATGGGCCAGCATTGTATATGATAGACCCATCAGGCGTATCATATGGCTATTATGGTTGTGCAGTAGGTAAGTAAAATAGATATAATTATTAAATATTAATAATTGAAGATATAAATATTAATAATTAAATATTAATAATGGAAATGATACATGCTGGAAGAAAATCATATTTTGCTATTTTTTGTAGGTAAAGCGAAACAATCGGCAAAAACAGAAATTGAGAAACTAAAGCTACCTGAGTTGACATGTAAGGAGTTGGTTAAGGAAGCTGCTCGTATTATCTACCTCGTTCACGATGAGCTGAAGGATAAGCAATTCGAATTGGAAATGAGTTGGGTTGGCGCACATACTAACGGGAGGCATGAACGCGTACCGGCTGAACTAAAAGCTGAAGCTGAGACGAAAGCACGGCAAGCAATGGCAGAGGATTCGGACAGTGATACCGAAGATATGTGAAACGATATATAAATACTGCCGTTAAAATTCTTTGTATTGTAAGCAATTAATATTAAATATAACATTAACACAAATATATGCACTGGTTTATGATTTTTATGATTTAGTTGCAAACAAGTAGAAAATATATTTGTTCTATGCTATAGTCTCTTCTTTTGTTCTTTATAGCTGAACTAATATATACTCGTTGTACTTAAAATGAAACAGATATATGTGGTGAAAGCGAGAAAGAAAATTTCAGTATAATGTAGTATAATGCAGCGATAAAGACCTTTAGTTTCGCTACAGTTGCAATTTTTATGAAAAGAAATTGCCTATTTTTTTACTCATTTTCCTCTCTGATGAACTGTTTGGATTTGTTTTAAAAATTATTGAGTGTTATTATATTGTACTTGGAGGTTTCTATTCTTCAAAGAATAATGCAATATTGTGATTTGTTTGTTCTCGACTATCTTGAATTAAATTTATATTCTGAGGACTTTGTTCCTATCATAAAACACTTTTTCACAAAGTTTCAATTGTTATATACATCAGAAATTAAATTCAGATTTTTTATTCGACAGGCGATCGCCATAGCTTACATTTTGAGTTATCTAGTAATTTCTAAAATAAAGAGAATGTCTTACAATAAAAATTTAATATAAAAATTTCTATATAAAAAATTATTTAACACTCGATAAATATTAATACTTTCATTATTATTGTTACCCACAGATTGTTGTCGAGATTCAAACTTTATTTTTTTTTTATCTTATCTTTATATATCTTCATTTTTATAAAGAATTCTCAAAAATCTTTTAATGTATTATTATCGATCGCTTCAATATTACATTTTATGGTCATATTTTTTGTCTATAATCATAATAATATCAATCATCGATTTAAATCCGATTTTTTAAAATAACTAGAACATTATAAAGCGCGTCATTTTTTCATCAACAAGTCTTTAAACTTTGAGAAATGCAAATAATCTCTTTAAATAAATCAATAAGTATATTGTCAATGTCAACGATGACATTCATTTTCGTTGCATATATATCGAGATGACCAATCAACATCGCGGAAAAAAGGCAACAATAAATCCGATTCGATTTAATACCTTTCAGGCCTTTTTCAGATAAGATGCATCATGTTTGTTAACTAAGTTTTTAATTAATTGTTCTGCGAAATATTTGTACAAAGATTAAAATGGTTTCACAGAAAATTTTCATCTTTGTTGTTATCCTTTCAATTAAAAATTTTAACTAAATTTAACTGCGCACAGATTATCGGTCTATTTTGCCGATAACAAACGATAACAGACGTAAAACGGAATTTCCTTTCCATCCTGTCTTTATATGTATCCAATACAATTTAATTAAAAAATTCGTAACTCTAACAACCTTGATGTATGACTATTAAAAGTAATCTCTTTATAATAACATCAAATTTTAGCCGCCGATAATAACGAATGACGTCCATGCACTTTGTTTTTTCATTTTTTTCTTTGAATTCAATTATTTCAAAAAATTGTTTTCTAGTTTGAAGTCAATTATTTATTAACAAAAATACTTATATTCGAGGAAATTTTAAGTGAAAATTTTATTAGGAAAGAATTGTTTAAAATTAAAACTTAATCGTTCAAAATAAAAAATATGATTTTAGTCGCTGTCAAAATTTTTCTCAAATTTGTTATTGTTTGTCACATTCAAAAATTATTGAATATCATTATTAATATTAATATCATATGCATAAGTCTTTCCACTGTTCTTTAGAACTTTAATTATTTATGAAATGTATTTTTACAGATGAAAAAGTTACATTAAAAATTAAGTCTAAACTATGATGCAGATCCGGGAATTTAGAGAAGAACAAGTATTGGTTGGAAGAAGACAAAAAGAAATGTATATTATGTAGGAAAGGAAAGAATAATCTGGATCATTATATTGAGGATTGCGAAATGACAAAGAATCGGTTTGTAGAAATAGGATAGAATAAAGAAGAAATTAAAGAATGGATACGCAATAATAGATTAGATAAGAAAAAGGGGGAGATTCTAAGGAAAATATGGAAAACCAAAGATAGGAAGATTAAAGAATTAAAGGAAAAAGAGAGGGCAGAATAAAGAATGTGTTGAAAAAGAGGAAAATTAATATAGTATATGTATAAAGTATTAGTTAGGTAATT